GATGTGAGGACTCTAAAACTTCACCTGAGCCTCCCTCGGCATATGGATGAGTAGATAATGGCTGAATTTTCATTTTTGGGTGCACTATCCCTTTAAATTAGTGTATTGACAATAAGCAGGATTCTCGTCATTTTCCAGAAAAGAAGTGCTCGCCATCCAATTGCAGAAAATGCAATTCTTAGAGAAATCTCCAAATGTCACGAGTTTTTGCCACAAATACACCTTCAATGTTAGGTCCCCTAAAAAAAAGGAGCAAAGAAACAGAAATGACAGGAATGAGGTAATTTGCTATGGTTCATTTTTCTTACTACATCATAAACAGCTCTGAGGAAGTTAATCTCATCCTGGAGGGAATCAGCCTTGGCTTCAAGCTTAATCTTGTTCGTGTAGGCGGCATCCATATCCTGTATGTAGAGAGGAAAAAAACAGTCTGCGTTAGCGATGGGTCAGAGGAAAAACATTAATTAATCCCACTGTTGTTAATGAAATGGCAAAGTGACAGGTTCTTTAATCGCAGGCCAACTCTTACCTTCTTCAGGAGCACAAAGTCATTCTCCTCAGCGGCACGCTTGTCGATTTCATCTTCATACCTGCCACACAAACAGTGGAAAGATTAGCTGATGGAAAATGTCTATGGATATCAGCTACTGTAGGTCTGTAGCTGTTGTTGGTTTTCCTGGGCTAGTATGGACTCACTTTGTCTTGAAGTCTTCCACCTGTCCCTGCATGTTCTGCAGCTCTCCATCCAGCTTTATTTTCTCCCTGCCGAGCCCGTCCACATGTCTGCGCAGGTTCATGAGGTAAGCCTCGAACATGGCTTCAATGTTGGAGGGGCGGGCAGTCTGCTCCTGCGTCAGGCTCCACTTAGTCTCCAGCATTTTGTTCTGCTGCTCCAGAAGGCGAACCTTAAAGGTAAAATCATTCAGCATTTTTAGATCCAGTCTCACTTGGGGGAGAGGTGTTACTTTGAATATGACTTCAAACCACATTGAATAACTGTGTAATTAATTAAATAATAAGACTACATTAAAAACTGGTAATAATCCACATCAGAAGATTTGGTGCTTGCCGATGCCTCTTTTCATTTTCTCCCTTTCAGCAAACCACGAATAAAAAAAGGCAAATATATCACAAAACACATCAGCAACTGAGAGAAAGCTTCTTCTTCAGCCTCATTACCATCGCAATATTACTACTGCATGGAACGCTCCATAACATTTCTTTTGATCAGATCCAGGACCGCTGTTGGCCATTTGTGCGCCCTAAGCGTAACTGCTTTGTGGTTGCTATGTAATATTCATTGAGCTCAGGTGGTCTGTTGCAGCCATTCACCTTTGCACAGGCCAATGAACTCTACTGTTTACAGTGCATCCACTATCTATTAATAATATTTCATATTCATTTATGTTACAATCTGTTGTTTAACCAAATCAGAGTTGTTTTCTCAAAAGCACAAACACACTGAAATGGTGTGGGATGTTGATATACAGAAAAGAGCTACTCACCTTGTCAATTAACAAAGCAAAGCGGTTGTTGAGAGTCTTCATCTGCTCTTTCTCCTGTGTACGGACAGTCTGGATGTTTGGGTCGATCGTAAGTTCCAGAGGGGTCAGTAGGCTCTGGTTGGCTGTTACAGCTGTGATTTGTTGCGCTGCAAAACCTGTGGCAGGACCAAAACCACTTCTGAAACCACCTCCACTAGAGGCTCTGAAACCACCTCCACTAGAGGCTCTGAGACTACCTCCACTAGAGGCTCTGAGACTACCTCCACTAGAGGCTCTGAGACTACCTCCACTAGAGATTCTGAGATTACTACCACCAGCAATACTACTGGCAAGACCACGGACTGACGTGTTTGATATTCTGCATGACCCGCTGCCGATAAGAGGTCCTGAGAAACGATGATCAATGTACGGAGGTTGTGGGCGCGAAGGTTGTAACATACTCTGAGGCACAATTTCCATGGCTGGTGTTGTTTCCTCTGAAAGAGAAGTTTCACAGAGAGAAGGGGAAGCAGAGAGAGAGAGAGGTTTGGCAGAGCAGTGGAGCGCACTTAGAGGAGAGCCAAGTCCCAGTAAGTGACTTCTCCCTGTCTGTGATGGATTTTTATCTGCCTTCAACTTTGGAGGAGGCCCCAATCAGCTCCACCTAACCTTATCCCCCCCTCAACCATTCTTCAGTTACTTGGAACTTGGGAGGTGCACTTGCACACACCCAGGTGCTGTTGCGGAAATGGCATCACAGCCAGGGGTAACGTGAGAAAAGACAACAAAAACATGTTCTCCAGGTTCTCCAGTTTTTTTTTTGAATTGGCGTAATTTCTGAAGCTGCAGCATGTTTCTTCTAATGGAAACATTTTGGGTTGCTGTGCTGCGTTTGTCCTTGTTGGCCATTGTACCGTACAAAAGGCAATGAGATCCAGTCATGCTTTGGGGAACTAGGCCTCAACAGTGCAGCAAGAGGGTTCCTGGTTCGAACTCTGGGGTGGGGGAGCCCTTCTATGTGGAGTTTGCATGTTCTCACTGTGTCAGTGTGGGTTGTCTCCGGCTTCCTTCCACAGTCCAAAGACATGCAGGTTAATTGGTGACTCTAAATTGTCCGTAGGTGTGAATGTGAGTGTGAATGGTTGTCTGTCTCTATGTGTCAGCCCTGTGATGATCTGGTGACCTGTCCAGGGTGAACCCTGCCTCTCACCCAATGTCAGCTGGGATAGGCTCCAAATCTGGTAAAGGATTGTATTTGATCTCACATGATATGACTGGTGACATTTTAATTTAGAATTGCTGTGCTGCACCTTTTCGTAGAGTTTTCTAAGTTTTTGACGTAGTTGACCTCTCTGTTTTCTTACCGCGGCTGGTTAACATAGGGCTGTCCTCAAAAACTGATCAGTGGTTTGAAAACTACTCGAGCGAGGGAACGCAAAGTGTCCAAGTTGGTGGTGTATTTTCTTGCCTTTTGAAAATACAAAATGGTGTCCTGCCAGGCTCTCTACTGAGACCTATTTTATTAGCAATTTTATCAATTCAAAATTTCATTTCCATGTGTGTGACATCATTATTTGTGACTCATCTTTAGCCTGTGTGATTGAGAAACTGCAATCTGCTTTTATTGTTGTTCAGAGGAGTCTTTGTGAGACTTGTACTGAATCCTGACAAAACTAACATGATGTGCTCTCCCTTAGGTCGAAGAAGACGGCTGAAGGATTCACACAGAAAAGGGGGAGCAGAGAGAGAGAGAGGTTTGGCAGAGCAGTGGATGTCCCAGTGAGCTCCACCTCCTCTCCATCTTCCAATTACTTGGAACTCATCTCAGCCTCAGACTCAACCTGTCAGACAGGTAACAGTGTGTCCATAGTGTTTCCTAAGAATTGCACTATTGCCTTAAGTGAACTGCAAACCACTGTTTTGGGGTGGACCTAAGATCATAGTTTGACAGCAAGTTTGACAGCAACTCAAATGTAGTAAACAATTTGGGAAAAAAGCCTCAACTGTTAAAAAAAAAAAAA